TGCAAATAGGTTGTGAGCTGGCAAAAAAAAAGTGATGCAACAGTTGTACGAAGCAAATGGGACAGAAAAAAGCCAGCGGTGGACAAAGAAAAGAGAGCGTTTTGTTGGGTCTATGAAAGGGAAACTTGAAAAAAAGTTGTTTTGCTCTTTCTGTCTGTAATTTTATGTGACAAATCTTTTTTTTTTTCCAATTCAAATTCAAAAACTTGGCAAAAAAAGTTCGAGTCACACACAAAATAAATAAAAATGGCATACTGAGATTGAGATATGGTGAGTTAACAAGATTATCAGGCATTTTGCATAAATCACAGTTTTCCACCTCATGTATTTGACGCTAAACAGTAAATCACTGCTGAGCAAACAGATGGACAAAGTGAGGGGTGTGGTTATGTGTCACGGTTATTAGTGACAACGTGAAGCCAGATTAGCAGACAAGAACTAAAGAAAGAAGTGTGTTTGCGTCTCCCACTGCAGTTGTATGCTTGTACTTTCTACAAAAATACATCTTGTATGATTAAACTTGAAAGTCAACCAAACTGTGCTAGTGTGTCTAACAAGCCACTTCAAAATCAGCAACCAATCACACACACATAAACATCTGGACACACACAGGGCCGGACTGGGACACAATTTCAGGCCGGGAAATCTCACACTCATCCAGGCCACACAGAAAAAAAGGGGCCAAAATTGTACCTTTTGGGGTACAACAGCTTGTCACTGGAGCAGTACACTTAAAAGGACACTTTTTTACCACTAATATGTACATATTAGTAGCTTAGAGTAGGGCTGCACGATTATGACAAAAATCATAATTGTCGATTATTCCCTTGAAATTGTAATTGCGATTATTAATTACGATTATCACAATTTACATTGAATGATGTTATATCATTGTTTGAAGCAACCGCATGCCATATTTTTAGATGAAAATAAACAAGCTGAAACCCCTCAAACTGAAAAACCTTTCTTCAGTGTCACATGATCCTTCAGAAATCATTCTAATATGCTTATTTGCTGTTCAAGAAACATATTCATTATTATTATTATCATCAATATTTAAAACAGTTGATCAGGATTCCTTGATGAATAGAAAGATCCAAAGATCAGCATTTATCTGAAATAAAAAGCTTTTGTAACATTATACACTATACCAAAATATAGTTATAGGTTATAGAAATTATTACTTTTATTTAGCAAGGATGCTTTAAATTGATCAAAAGTGATGCTAAAGACATTTAGAATGTTACAAAAGACTTCCATTCCAGATAAATGCTGTTTTTCGGAACTTTCTATTCATCAAAGAAACCTGAAAAAAATTCCCTGTTTTCGACATAATAATAATAAATGTTTTTTTTAGCAGCAAATCAGCATATTAGAATGATTTCTGAAGGATCATGTGACACTGAAGACTGGAGTAATGATGCTGAAAAGCACAGTATTCTGAATGATGATAATAATGGGGTGCTACTGATAGCCTAACAGATAGCAGTTTAATACTCAACTACGTTAATAAAGACAAAACTATCTAGCCTATTTACAGATGAAACTGACCAGCACTTGAAGCACTGAACAGGTCAGTGATGTTGCTACATTTCACTGCTTCTTCTGGCCGCTTCCTCTCCTTCATCGAGTCCCACGCATCGGTTCTGTTCGGAACCATTTGACGGAAGCGCAGAACATACGTGAGCTGATTCATGCAGCGCTGACAGTCAAGACTAACTGATTTATGATTTATTATCGATTTATTATCTAATGAAAAAATCGGAAATGATCTCTATGGTACATTGAGAAGGCATAAATATAAAATATTAATAATAATAATAATAGCCTAACTGAAAAAAAAACAAAAACATGACAGCGGGCCAAATCAGCCGCCAGGCCACCGGGAATTCTCCCGGTGCTCCCGATGGCCAGTCCGGGTCTGGACACAAATATTCAATTATGGCACACTCCAACATTGTAGTGCAGAAGTCTGGCCTGATTTCTCTCTCTCTCTCTCTCTCTCTCTGTCAGGGCGTGCGTGAAAGACCGACAGAGAGAGAGAGAGAGAGCAGGTCTTTCCTGAGCTGTAAGGCCTGGGAGAAATGGAACTTAAATGCCTCTCACTGGCTCTCAAACTCCAGTTGCCTTCATTGATGCACTGGCCTACTGCCAACCAGAGGCCTTTTCCACTTCAAAGGGTCCGCGTTCACACACACACACACACACACACACACACACACACACACACACACACATCCTCAACTGTGAGCATGAAATGCACTTCAACCTCTATCTGTACTTCAGGCCTATATCTGTGATGTCCACCTCCATGTGTAATCTTAGATATAAAAAAGGCCACTCAAAGTACGATTCAATGTGCAATTCAAACCTCTATCTGTCATCTGAAAGTCTATAAAACCCCATCTACTGTATACTGCGAGCGAGTGGCATGGCTAAACTAAAACACTCCCATTATAATCGAAGCGGTTTCGAAGCACAAAGTGATTCTAGTTTGTTTTGACGCTTGCGGGGATTTGAATTTGATTTAAAGCTTGCAGTCATTCAAAATCCATAAATTCATAGATGGCATTCTTTAGAATTCACTTTGAAAATCTGAATGGACTTGAACAGGATTCAAATTGGCATTGGTTTAAATTCTACAAGGAGTTTAAAGTGATTCAAATTAGTTTTGAAGTTTGCAGTTACTCAAAGTAAATTACAACATTGCAGCTTTCAGTGGTTCAAATTCAGTCTGAAGCATGAATTGATTTGATTTTGAGTCAAAGCTTGCAGTGATTCAAATTCAATTCATCGTTGTGGTTGTTCACATTCAATTTGAAGATTATATTGATTGAAATTTGATTCAAAGCTCTTAGTGATTCAAATTAAGTTTGAAGCATGCTTATTTGCACTTATGTTTAAAAAGAATAAGTGTTCAATGATTCAAGTTATGAAAAAAAAATGGATTGCATTCTAAATAGAAAAAAATCAGCATGTATGTTTTATGTGACTTACAATTCAGGTACAAATAATTTATTCATATTGCAGTACTTTCCTAGAAAAACAATTAACCATGTCAAAAATGTTAAATGACGAATGAAAAATAAAGATGCATTCAATAACATGCATTAATTAATACATTTGTTTCTCTATTTTTTGTCTAAATGCAATGAAAAAGTGCTACTGTAAATGCATAAAAGCAGCATGTATGTTTTCGGTGACTTAATTCACAAATCATTTATGCATATTAAAATACTTCCCTAGAAACAAAAATGCTTAATGTAAAAAGTTTGAATGACATAAATGAATGCAAAATAACTAAGGATGCATGCAATGCAATTAACAATTGTTACCATAAATGTACTTCTCAATTAATTATGTGCAATGTATAAATTAATTAATAAATCTGCATATTATTTATTTATTTGTTTGTTTGTTTGTATCTAAATGCATAAAAATGTGCTACTGTAAATGCACAAAAAAACCTCAGGCACTTTTTCTTTAGCTAAATAAAAACCTTTATAATTTATGACAAATATTAAGCGACAACTTATCAAGATCAGTAGAAATGCTGCTACATTTCAGTCCCTTTCAGGCTCTACAGGTCTGAGATAGAAACTCTGCGCTGTGTGGATCCCAGAATTCACAAATGTCGATACGACCCACATGTCTACGCCTCAGCCTTTGCATTTCAATGCAGTTTCCTTTTCATTATTTATGACTCTTTTACCCATGTCAGGAAAAAAAAAGCATGGGCCTACACCTCCACACCTATCTCCATAGTAACCAACCTCACAAGTCCTGTATATGCACAGAGAGCCCCTCACAGAGCGCATACCATATACAAAAGTATGTGTGGGTGCATGTTTGGACATACATGTATGCACAAACATAATGGGCTTCCTGGTGTCCTGGGGAGGAAGTATGAGAGGTGAGCGTCTCTCCATGCCTCCGAGAATGGAGTGAGAAACCAGACTACCGCTGAGTGTGAACTAGCTGGGACAAGATGCTGTCATATCTGATGGGAGAATGACAGTCTGCATATGAGGTAGAGGTCTGCTACCCGACCCGATCCCGACGGGTCCCGAAATACTTTCGGGTTTCGGGTCGGGTTAGGGTTAATGTTTAATGAATAGCTTCGGGTTCGGGTCGGGCTCGGGTTTATAGCTAAACTAAAACTATATGCAGGCTATGCTGCTTTCATAGACGCACGCACACACATTATTGCACACGACAACACAGCACGAAAACTTTTATTAGTAAAATAGCTTCGACAGGCTGACTCGCAACGTTATATTTCTCTGCAATGAGGGGGTAAAATCGCTGTTTTTGAAAAAACTAAGCCTCATTGCTCGTAGAGAGAGGCGCGCAGACGCAGGTTCACACATGCAACTTTCATCTCTCTCTCTCTCTCGTGCGTGCACGCTAATTAAAATAAATGATATAATTAATTAATTCAAATAAATGTGATCTTACCGCACTGCATCTCTGTCTGATTTAAAGCAGGCCGAATGCTAACGAGCCTTAACTGACAAAAATGACCATAATTTGCACGATAGAAGAATTATCGTCTTGTCGTATACAACCATTCAAAAACTTGGCAGAATTTATGTGAGCTCTGCACCTGATGTTCATAAACTTTCATAAATGGCAAGTGTTTTTTCTTTTGCCTTGTGAACTGGAGTTTGCTCTTCTAGATGGTTTCTAACTAGCATGTGCAGTCCAGCACTCGCTGGTCGGACGAGAAATGGGACTACAGTGTATTCTGTTATCAGCTAAGTCTAATATGCTGTTGTTACCTTGATTTGCTTTTATTATTGTACCTAAATGAATGTAGATGGGTCGATTTATTTTAAGTTGTATATCTTAATATATACTTAATGCCTTAATGATTCTGTTTCTTTACATGTATTTGTTTACTGACCGTTGCATGCAATCGTGAAATACAGCATTTTTTAAAATTGGCTATTTGTTGTTGGGGGAAAAAAAAAGATTTCGGGTTCGGGCTCTAAATTTAACGGGTCGGGTCAGACAATCTCGGGTACGGGCCGGGTTCGGGCTTCACTTTAAAGCCCATGCAGATCTCTAATATGAGGACATTATATATAAATATAGAAAAGGGTTTCAGTTTTCTATTTTGCATCTTTCTAACACTTGCATTTAAGTGTAAGTTTACTTTATTTATATAGCACATTTAAAACAGCCACAAGACTGACCAAAGCGCTTCACAGTAAGAAACGTAATCATAAAAATGTAGTAATACAAAAATTAAAGCACAAATAAGAAATACAATAGGCAAAAATATAGTCCTAATAGGCCAATGAAAACAAATGGGTTTTTAAAAGAGACTTAAAAATAGACAGGCTACGGGCCGTTCTGATCTCCACTGGCAAATCATTCCAAAGACGAGGCCCAATTACTGAGAAGGCACGGTCACCTCTACGCTTGAGTCTGGTATGCGGAATTACAAGAAGGTTCTGGTCGCAAGATCTTAGAGTTCTCGAGGGGATATACTGATGCAGCAATTCAGATAAATAAATGGGAGCTTGATTGTGCAGAGATTTAAAGACAAATAATACGATTTTAATATGTATTCTAAACTGAACAGGCAACCAATGAAGGGTCTTCAAGAGCGGAGTGACGTGATCCCTTTTTTTCTTTTTTAAAAGGAATCTAGAGGCAGCGTTCTGGACCACTTGAAGACGGGCAATTTCATTGTAAACCATATTATCAGCAGAACAGTTTGAGTGGAAAGTTAAATTTTTACATTCATTTGTGGTAAGTAGCACTGGAGCTCCATGAACAAATGTTCTCCAGCTTGATTTGAGAATGATTCAAAGAGCATCTTGTACTTCAATAGAAGGAAGAATATCTGATTGTCTGCACAAAGGAGTTCACATGGTCACAAATGTGATTTATATTTTGAGTTACAGTGATTTGAATTCATTTTTGCACTGATTCGTGGTCAATTAGAAGGTTGAAGCGATTCAGATTTATTCACGAACAAAGTGATTCAAACTTGGTTTGCCTCTTGCACTGATTTGAATTCGATTCAAAGCTTTCAGTGTTTCTGATTAGATTTGGAGTTTCACATGATCACAAATCTTTTTGAAATTAAAGAGTTTTGAACGATTTGAATTCATTTTGACGTTGAAAGGATTCTGGTCTATTTTGGATCTTGCAGTGATTCAAATTTGATTCAAGATTGCAGTGATTCAAATTCAGGTTATCACTTGCATTAGAATTTAGCATTTGATTAGAATTCAGTTCAAAGCTTGCAATGATTCAGATCTGATTTTGAGCATCACATGGTCACAAATGTGCTTTAAATTAAGTAAGGATTTTAGAGTGATTCAAATTTTTGTGAAGTTTGCAGTGATTCAAAAGCAACAAGAAAGGTTGGAGTGATTCGTTTTGGAACTTTCAGTGATTCAAATTCAGTTTGTCACTTGCATCGATTTGAACTTGAGTGAAGCTTGCAGTGATTCAAATTCGATTTTGAGCTTCACATCATCACAAATGTGCTTTAAATTCAATATGGAGTTTGGGGGATTCAAATTCATTTTGAGGTTTGCAGATGCTTACAACTGATTCAAATTCGAATTTGTCCATACAAAGGATTTCACATGGTCACAAATGTGCATATTTGACCTTAGAAATAGCAGAACCTTCAAGGGATAATTCTGTCTTCATTTACTCACCCTCATGTCGTTCCAAACCTGCATGAATTATATTCTTCTGTGGAACAGAAAGGAAACATTTTGAAGAACGTTTGAATTGTGTGTGTCCATACAAAACAACACTGGAACGCAGACTTTACCTGAAGGGGAAAAAAGCATTTTTCACAATATTTTATTTTGTTTTTCACAGAAAAAAGTAATGCAAACAAGTTTGAAATGACATGAGGGTGAGTAAATTATGACTAATGATTAATTATAATGATGAATTAAAGACTTATTAATTTTACATTGCTCTTTTACAGGTTTTGAATTCTAGATTTTCTCTAGGCCTTCCATGATGGTAATGCCCAATCCTATCCTAATACTTGGTTCCATCAATCTGTGAGTAGTTCAGAATCACGTGTGTTCCGTTTGTACCTGCGCCTGTTCAATAGTCCTGCTTTGGCCTATCGTCCCCTTTTCCTTATGTCACTGCCGCTGGACAATAGCCCTTACTGAAGGTCCCCACCGCTGCAGCTTACACTTAATGAACAACAACCTATCCCCCCCACCCCACACACACCACCATCATCCATCTATCTACCCCCAACACCCCCCTCCCATCCGCCCCTGCCCACAACCACTGTTGTCCACTGTTCACCTCATCCATAGTAGACGGTATTGATTTTCAGTGGGGAAAATAAAAAAGGCCATGAATTTTAATGCTTTCTCTCTCTCTCTCTCTTATACCCCCCATCCACCTTTTTTTCCACCCCTTCTTCTCCTGACCCATCCCTCTGCTGTGTTCTTTCCTGGGGGAAGGATAAAAGAGAGGGGGATGGGACAGTCAGGGAGGGGAGAGGTGGAGGGGTTGGTGGTGTGGCGTTGGGTCATTTCTCATTTCCGAACCCTGGACGGTCACCTCCCCCCTTCCTGTTAACTAGCCTTCTCATTGCGGGAACGCTACAGATGGAAACACGCAACGACCTCTCTGGATGCTCTTCATCAATACGATGTCTGTGACTCTACGCAACCTTGTGTTATTTTAGTTAAATAAATGAATAATCTGATCACCCGACACCATATTTATTATTTAATTATACAAATGCACGTTAATTAAGAGTTTCTACAGCTTCAAAAAAAAATGGGAATAATAAAAAATGATCATTTCATTTGAATTTTTTCAAGTTCAAAAGTTTTTTTTTTTTTTTGAGAAATAATACTTTTTTGGCAAAGATACATTGCACTGTTATAAAGTGACAGTAAAGACAATTGTAATGACAAAAGATTTGTATTTCAAATAAATACCATGCTTTTGAACTTTCTGTTTGCCAAAGAATCCATAATTCATAAAAATCAGATTTCCACAAAAATATTACGGTTTCCACAAAAATATTATGCAGCACGTCTGTTTTCAATATTTATAAGAAATGTTTTTGACCGCCAAATCAGCATATTAGAATGATTTCTGAAGGATCATGTGACACTGAAGACTAGAGTAATGATGCTGAAAACTCAGCTTTACATAACAGAAATAAATTACATTTTAAATATATTCAATTAGAAGACAGTTATTTTACATTTTAATACCGTTTCATAATATTACTGTATTTTTGGTCAAATAAATGCAGCCTTCATGATCATAAGTCTAAAAACCAAATTTTTAGCTAATAAAAAAAATAGTACAAAGAATAAAAAGCTATAGGTAGCTAATAATTCAATACAATATGTTAGTAAACAGGCTGTATTGCATTCTTAAGCACAGCATACACAATATACACTATGCTGTATGACAACTTGACAACTCATTAGCATTACTTGTATTCATGTGACACTTTTCAAACAATAATTAGACTGGAAATGCTCTAGTATTCAGCATTGCTTAAACACGGACTCCATGCTAATGACCATATGGCCATCACCACGTTTGGTGCTGAAATAACATTAAAGCACAACGAAGATAGATAGAACAATCTCCCAGCACTCCGTCAGAGTGACAAATGTTTTAATAATTCCAGCAGTGAAGAATGACACACACAATATACCATTTCTATAGTCGCATAGCCATACAGTGAGTGACCACATACTCCAGTTTACCAGCATTTACACCTAATTGTCATCAGTGTAATTTCTGACAGATAAATAAAGGAGTGAGGAAAAATCTTCAAGGTATACATGCGGTGAGGCTCATAATTCTGACAAGCACATCTTTTTGTGTTATTTTCTGTATGTGGTTTCTCACCGCCTTCTTATATAAAAGCCGAGAGGATGGACGAGAAATGGACAAAATTGAGGGAGTAAAAAAGGGGCTTTTAGGGCCGAAAGCGCGTGTGTATGTGAGCTTGCATCTGTGTGTGTGTTAAAAGAGGGGTCTTAAAAACTGCATCTACAGATTGTTTATACACAGTAATGTTTCATTTCCTTTTACAGCTACACAATGAACTATTATCATCATCCTCCACGGTCTGTTGTCGTCAAGCAAATTTGAACAATGTTCAGTAAATATTTTTAAAATAAGTTTAACCGAGTAGCCTATACCAAACATTCTGAAGGCTGTGCACATTTCTGTGATTTACACTGATATAGCAATACCAAAGAAAATATATAATTTCCTTGAGATTTCTGTCTTTTCTACAGCTCAGTGACTTCTGATACCACATTAAGAACTCATGCATGTGAAATGACAAATTCTGTCTTATTCGTTTTGTCCCGATCTCAATCTCAAATTCTGATAATCATTCAATTACACCATCCAAAGAAAGGACATTACAATCACATTCACACAAAATCGTTCAGTGCAAAAAAAAATAGTTGACGTTAAAATATGTTTTGATTCATATTCACCCTTTACATGTGTCTCTTTGTGATTCAACGATTCATGCGCCGCTCACCTCCACCTCTCGTACCGTACTGAACCACACAGAGGGAAAACATGTGAATGCATGTCTGCTGAGAAGCTAATAATGACACAACGGTGTGTTTCTTTCACATGCTTTCACAGTCTGTGCTTCTGTTACATGCGAAAGGTCATTTGCTGTGTACTGTGGTATTTACTAACAGCCAAGTGTTTTGTGGTTCATTCAGGTTTGCTGTTATTCTTGCGCGTTTTGATTAATCTTGCGAGAGCTGCTGGACTCATAATGAGGATTTGAAATTGAGGTCAAACACTTTTTGAAACGCATCAATACGTATGTCAAGAAATTCTATCGGAACGACACACAAACATTTATAATGGATACATTCAAAAACGCATTAAAACATAATGCATACTACAAGAATCATGCATTTCTCATCACTAAGAACTTTCATCAACTCTGGTTAAATTAAGCAACATAGTTCATTATATTCAAACCAACCACAGTTGATTTACTTGGATATTAAGAGATAAATTTGAAAGGCAGTCTCAAAGATCTATTGCAAATTACATTATACAATGTGCAATATCTCCACATTTTGGAGGCACTTTTGGTGCATATCATAATGTTGGTTGATTCACGTTTGCGGTTGTTATTGTGTGCTTTGATTAATCTTGCAAGTGCTGCTGGACTCATAACGAACAACTGAAATTGTAGTCAAACACTTCCAAAATGCATAGAAAAATTGTATCGGAACATCACACGCTTATAATGGATATGTCATCCAAAAATGCATGAAACATTACATGCACCGCAAGAACTGAGCATTTGTTCATCATTGTGAACTTTCATCAACTCTGGTTAAAGTAGGCAAACAAGTCATTATATTCAAACCATCAACAGTTGATTTTCTTGGATTTTGGAGGTAAATTTGGATCAAAAGATCAATTGCAACTAACATACAATGTCCAATATCTTCAAATTTTGGAGTCACTTTTGGTGTATGTCATAATACTGGCTCATTTAGATTTGCTGTTGTAATTGTGTGTTTTGATTAATATTGTGAGTGCTACTGGGCTCATAATGAACATTCAAAGTTGTGGTCAAACTAGGGATGCTCCGAATGTTCGGCAACCAAAATTATTCGGCCAAACACCGAAAGAGCTTTTGTTGCTATTTTCGGCCAAATAAGCGAAAAGACCAAACAAATTGTACCGAACAATGACGTGACACAATCAAATAGAGGCACGCACTAATGCAACAAACATGTCGGCAGTGTGGAAGCATTTAAAAGTGTCCGTGAAAGACACAAAAATCATTACAATCACCAGCCGTGAGAGACTGTTTAGTACTGCATCGCATGTCTTCGATGAGAAGAGGAAGGGGTGGTTGTTGCTGGTTACTGTATGATGACTGAAATCGCGAAATGCCCTTAAACAATTAAATAAACTGCAGAACGTTGTGTTTTCTAGTACACACACGAATTGCATGTGTTCATACAGCGCTGCGCGGCGCCAGGGTTCAAAGTAATAAACAATTAAATAAACTGCAGAACGTTGTGTTTTCTAATACACACACGAATTGCATGTGTTCATACAGCGCTGCGCGGCGCCAGGGTTCAAAGTAAAAAGCGTGAGGAAAATCTGCGCTGAAATAGTGTTATTCGTCAGTTGCTCAGTAGCATTTTTATGAATTTTTACAAGGCATGTGACATTGCGATACGTGCAACAAACGTCTTCCCATATTCGCAATGAGAATTATTTATAAATCTACTGTTGTCAATAAAAAGAAGCACTGAGGTCTTCCTATGGATTTCTGCCAAAATAAAAGCTGAGAAAAAGCAAGAACTCCATCAACATTAATAAATGTAATTTTTGTAATTGTACTGTTGTTCTGTAAAATAAAATAAAAAAGACAATAATAAGGATAATAATAATTACAACAGCTCTATTAATACATTTATTATAGCATTCACACAGTGTTCAGACTGGGATCTGTAATATTTTCTAATGTTTTAAAAGAAGTCTCTTCTGCTCAGCAAGGCTGCATTTATTTGTACAGTAAAAAAATACATGCCTGATTCAAGAAAAAATATTATTTTACCAACTTATTAATTTCAAGTTAAATGGTGTTTTATTGGTATAATGTCTATTAGAATGTTAAAAAAAATGTTCAGCGTTAAGTAAATAATTTTTAAAGCACATTTTGGCTATTTAATTTATGCTATGGGGAAAAAAATTGGCAAAATGGGGAAAAAATTTGAAAAACCGTTTTCAGTATTCGGCCTTCAGCCCAGTGTTTCATTTTGTTCGGCTTCGGCCAAGAATTTTCATTTCGGTGCATCCCTAGGTCAAACACTTTCAAAACACATCAATGCATTTGTCAAGAAAATCTACAGTAGCTTCACACAAACATTTATAATGGATACGTCATCAAAAACGCACAAAACATCACACATACCACAAGAATTATGCCTTTGTTCATCATTATGAACTTTCATCAGCTATA